AAAGAGTGTTGGTGAGTGAGGGAGCCACTTCATAGATGTCTAAGGACCACGGACAGTTCCCGTCCTTTCATACAGCACTTTTCAGGATGTGAATACTGATTTTCAAGTCTGTGCACATACTGTACACAGCAAAAAGAAGCACAAAGACATGTGAGGGTTATGTCAGTAAGTACACAGTCAGCTGCATCAGTCACTGCTGTCTGGTTAAACCTCTGGCTACTGCTTCCTCATTCTGCAATGAAACAAGACAAGAGGACCCCAATATCATCTAAACACAAAGACAAGAGTCACTGTAAACAATTAGTGGGCTTCAGCTGTATTTGTTGACTCATTCCTGATCTTTTCTTCCTCCTTTATCATACTCACAATGTGTGTACCAGTGTGTGTACCAGACTAGAAGTGAACACACCCCGCCCTTTCCTAGTGCAAAGATTTGGACTCTGACACAGGCTGCTGGCTAGATGCTTGACCATAGTAAATCACACCCATACACATTTCCGCTCAATGACTTTACTTAACTGCACTACAAATGGAATTAAACTGCTTGGGGCAAAAAACATCACATTACTCTTCAGAATGAAGGTTTTCTGCAGGTGGAGAGCAGCATCTCACTGGAGGACAGCATGTGCAGAGATACAAGTGTGTTCATTTGTAAGATAAGACAATATCAGACAAACCCTCTACACCTCAGTGGGAAAGTTAAAAATAAATACAGGATCCTGCAAAGAATATAAGCACGCATGGACAGAATATAAATAAGCCAGAAGCCATAAAAATACTTGTAGACTTTGTTGATTAAAAGATGGGGGAAGAATGTGGTTATTTACTTGATGTTACTTTAGTCAGCTAATTAAAAGAACTTCTTTAGACCATCTGATACAGATCATTCCACATCAGAGGGTAGCTGATTTTGACCATAATGACTTTATGCCTTGCACAGACAAGTGTGAATAGATTTCACTCATCTAATATCCATTTGTGTTTCTGGGTCTGAAAGGACAAAAAATTATGTAAAACTTAGGCAAATACTCACTTTAATCATCTTTAAAAAAAAGTTTCAAAAGCACAATTACACATAGTAAATAAAGGTCAAGAAAAGTCTAAAAGTTAAGAAATACACTGTGCTGACAAGTCAACTGAGAAGTAATCTCTCTTGCTTGTACTTCACTTGTGTTTACAACCTGTCATCATGTGACATGGTGTTAGTCTCCACTGTATCTGTAGCCGGCCTATAACTGTGTTGCTTTTTAACCTTTGTGGCACAGCGGTACATCTCTGTGTGACAACACAGTCCACAGCACAACACCCCACTGAGTCTTTGAAAATGTCGCATGGTGCCCAGTAGAACCAAGAGGCAGAAAATACAAAAGGCAGCAGAGAAACTTTTAAATTGTGTTTTAAAGCTGATTGGCTGTTTGAATAATGTTTATGCTGTTGTTGAATCCATTTTTATATATGGCCTAAAGTTCCGGCGAAACAACACTGGGCATCATTGTTGAGGGCTAAACACATAACCTTTTCTGTATAATTGTTTTCTACATTAAAACGTGCAATTATTTGTCTGCAGTTAAAATATCTAGCAATATTGCCACATAAATTCCTTTAACTTCATTGTAAGCGTCAAATAACACTTTGGGCTAGGGGGAAAGGAAAACTAATAGGACAATGAATCATCTCGAGATACATGGGTGGTTTTGGTGCCTTTGTTGTCAGGGGCTGTTATTGGGTTCAACCTAGAGCCAACTACCATTACATCCTTTGTTTTAATGGGCATTAGGGAAAAAAGAAGGTTGTCTCAGCAAATAGAAATGCCTCAAATTGACCATCAGCAGTTACAGTATGGCCACAACAAGGCAGTTCTGCTTTTATACAGCAAAAGCCTATGAAATTATGCGTCATTAAATAATGCACTGAGGAGTACTGCCTCCTAACCAAAGGATTCCATGCAGGATACATGAGGCATGGAACGTGCCAAGAGTGCTAACACACGCTGTATGTCAATTCTCTTAACATTTACAGGACATGTGACGTGCTGCTGTGTGCAAGAATTCAATAAGAGCATCGCTTTATGCATCACTGATTGACCCGCATATTGTCTCTGAATTTCAGTGTGCTTGCAGTATGAGAATCAAAACTGAGAGCTGATGCTTGTTCAAAAAGCTATTTGTTTTTGCGAAGCAGAGATGAGGGAAGGAAGTTCAGTTCTGAACAGCATCAAGAGACAAAATGGGTTTTGCTTCTTTTGCGTAATGGATCAAATCTGGTCTCTTGTCAAAGGAGAGAACGAAAGCATGAAGCACATATCTCTAGTCTTTCAGTATTATCTGGGGTGAGAGATGACTGGAATTATGGGAAGTAAAATGTGGTAATCACAACATAACAGAATATTAGTGTTCACTAGGAAATGAATCCCAGCTGATGACACTGGTAAGAATGCAGGACTGATTAACACATCCATTTCAGAGCTGGTATCTTTTATCAAATAAGCACTGAGGAATATCTAATGAATTATTCTGCCAGGCTATAATTAAACTTGTTACTGTGATTTTACACCTAAAAGGGAAAAAGCATCAAAAATATCTTAACAACATGGCTTTACCTCAGGATCCTGATACAGCCAAAAACCATATCAGCCACACTGAAATCTGGGCCACCCCTCAGAAGCAGACTGTACCTGGCATACATTACAGGCAAGGACAGATACATAAGTAATGGACAGATGGACAGAGAGAGATGTGTGATGTAATTTCATACACTGAATGAAACATTCAACAAGCCCGTTCACCCTGCCAGCCTCCCCTGCAGCAATCACCGATCCCTTAGGGGGATTATCCAGACTCAAATCAAAAACATTGTGAAACTTTAAGGGCTCCAGACAGAGAGAGAGAGAGAGAGAGAGGGAGGAATGGAGCAGAAGGTGGTAGTCCTGCAGCCTGAGGATTTTGCTCCTGCCTAGCCTCAAATTTATGTTTTGATATACTATGTACACTCCCACTGTACTAAAATAGGAATATACAGGAAATTACAAGTGACTGATAATATTACAAACTACCAACATGCTTTAATGACATAATTTCAATCTGACACAATACTGACATGCTCGTATGGCGAATTTTGTACTAAAAGCGCTGTAAATTAGGAAGATATTTACTTGATTTCTAGAACTCAAACTGCAAAAGCATCATGCTAACTTAGGCTGAACTGAAAGGAACAGTTTGATAATTTGAGCTAGATAAACAGAACAATACCACTCTTCATACTGTATGAGCAATCATGAGTCCCTGTCAGCCAGCATGATGAGGATGAATAGGCCCAATATGTGTTCCAGCATATACATAGAATGTGAATGTGAGCCTATGCTTTACAGCAACGTTCTTTTTTCTATTAATCACTCTTTCTGAAATGATTATGAAACAGTTACAGGTCATTTTAAGTAATGAGGACCATGACCTATTCATCACTGAAAATCATGGATGCCACGACTTGTCAGATGGCCCTTAGTACAATGGCACTTTGCCCTCTGAAGTAGCAGCATGCACTGGCATAAAGCAAGAGGCAATTTGGCATGCGTTACTGTAATCTGATATTCAGAACACAAACAAACCCTGCTGGCTAGTTTCTCTGCCAAATGCCAACACACTATAGCCAAGATTTCCCCACACTACAAACTCTGATACAGGTCCTGTGTTTATTTTTAGGAGAGATCAGGCTAGGGTTTCCAACATAAAGCCAGATGTGTGGCGATAAAACCCTCAGGTAGAATAAAAACAACAAATACAAACAAAGCTCACACACCCCTCTTACTGTACCTGCCACAGCTGGTTCCCCATCTCATAATGAATGATTTACTACAGGCCTGAAACTGTGATAAATGATCCACAACCTCTCATTAAGGTTTATAAAGCAAATTTGGCTTGTGTGCAATCTGCAAACAGAAGGCTCCAAAACTGTATTATGACACTTCATACATACACACAGGCCATGTGGGTACAAGCAAAGTGCAGCTAACTGGCCAGTGATGCAAACACTCTTGGTGCCAGCCTTTATCCATTTTCATCTGTCAACAACGGATGTAGCCAAATGTTTAAAAGTGGGTGTGGCAAACATTAAGACCGGCTGACAAAATAGTAAAGCATAAGGTCAAGTGCAAGTGATTCCCATGAGGATAAAAGTCTCACAACGAAGAGCTTCACAAAATAGTAAAGCATAAGGTCAAGTGCAAGTGATTCCCATGAGGATAAAAGTCTTAGCAAACAACGAGAGGTGAAGCTCTTCTTGTGAGAAATAGACGGTATTTCAGAAAATCAGAAATCCAATAAAGATAAAAATATGATTACACAACAAGAACACTACAGATACTTGCTTCTGTCCTATGTGACACATTCATCAACATTAATGTGCAACCTATAATCAATCTCCACTTTGTTTGGAATACTCATTGAAATAATGTCTAGGAAAAACCCATTTAAGCGACACTTTACTTGTAATCTAATTCCTTATGAGTTACAGGGATAGGTATGTTAATACTGTGCTCTGCAGGCAGTAAAAGCAGTCAGGAGCAGCGCCTTGTGGATCTCATGGGTGTCCTAGCTCACATAAACATAATACATGACTAAAACCTCCCAACATAGAAATATACAGCTGTCAAACACCACAGGCCACATACTGTGCATCCTACACATCAAAACTATGGATAAATGTGGGGCTTATTCAACTGCTATTCTAATTACAAACTTCAGTATGTGGCAAAACCTAGTTGTAAACCCTAACCAAACTACTTAACGTAACCGTATTTTATACTGGCAAGACTATTTAGCCCGGCATCCCTCCTGAAAGGATTATCATGCGGTTGTTTACAGTGACATTGGGAAGAAATTTGACTACAATGTAATGACATGTGGTGTACAAACATAAAGATGTACACACGCTCTGTTTATTATATGTGAAAAGCTGTGACTTGAACAATGTTTTAGGGTGTAAAACTCCAGACACACACTCACCCAGACAGCTTTGGCATCTTAGAGAAACCAAACATTTCCATGTGGTCCTGCTATAGAACACTACGTCCCAAAGCTCAGGTGCTCCACATCAGCATTCTAATCCACATATGAATCCACAATCCAGTTTTAACCCGGATCCATATCGAGAATTGACTAAAGCCTTTCAAACACAGAATTCAGAATTTCTGGCAGTTTCTGAAAATAAACTGGTAGCAATTAATGCCCTTGTTGAATGTCCTGTCCAGTGCACAGACAATCCAGTTCCCTGTCTTCCTCAATGTGATGTTCCTAAATGCTGACGAAGACTGTGAGGATCAACGTCCTGCCTATCTGCTCTCACTGGGACCAGTCAGCCCTTCCTGTTCCTCTCCACACTGGCTTAGTTGGGCTGCAAAAAAGCTTTCTGTGTGTGCTCTCCATCTCAGCACATGGAGAAGTACAGGGCTCCTAACTGCAGTGAGCATGGCAGAAAAGAGGAGGGAGGGAGAGAGAATAGAAGAGGGATGGGACGGAGAGGGAGTGAGGGGGAGGGACAATGCAAATGGATGACGGATGCTTTGCCCTCTGCTCCTTTGGGCTGCAAGTCTCTTTGCAGAGCAGAAGAAAGGATGGAGGGAGGATGCAGAGGAAGAGAACAAGCAAAGGAAATCAAGATGAAAGACTGAGGAGAAACAAAAAGGCATGTAAAAGTGGTTAAAAAAATCAGACAGAGAGAAAGGAGGAGGGGAGGAAGATGATGGGCAGAGCAAAGCTGACTCTGCAGAGTAGGGCGCTGATGGAAGCAAGACCCGCTCAGTCAGTGAACTTGTGCATGTGAGCACCGCCACCACCACAATGTAAGCACGCATTAGCCTCCTGAAGCACAGCTTTCTTGTTCCTCATGTGGAAGAACATTTGGATTTGCATCATTTTTTTAGGCTGAAAATATGACTGCATCTTCTCAAATGAATGGAAGAAGTCCTGATCAACATCTAGCTACTGTTTATTTTGCACTTATGAATGAGAGAACATGCAAGGACCAAGCCTTAGTGAGTTGCTGCTCCTGGTCCTGTGCCACAAATGTATGCTTTTGACTAAATGGTAGGGCCAGGTCAGTACAGTTTATCTGGAGGGGGAAATTTATGTCTAGCACATGTCATGGAAATCCATAGCTGTGCAGACATTTCACACAAAGTACAAATGTCTTAAGACGCTGCTACAGGAAAGGTTAGGGGACCACTAGGTAGATCAATAGGAGACTACCTCTGGAGACAATGTCTGCACAAAATTTCATGGCAAGCAATCCAACAATTGTTGTGATATTTCAGTCTGGACCAAGGTTAGGATAAGGATAATCACCTTTATTGGCCAAGTATGTTACACATAAGGAATTTGTTTCCAGTACAGTACAGTCCGGTAGTGGACTGAACGACAAACTAACACTGCCAGCCCTTGAGCCACACTGCTAAGAAGATCAAATATAAGAGGCAATAAGGTGTGGACATTGATAAATAAGCTATTTTAAGCAAGTCTGTGCGAGATGATTTTCATACAACATAAAAATCTATGGAACACAGCGGCTTCCTGAAAGGTGAAAATACATTCAATCCTCTAAATGAGTTAATGGATTAAAGGACAACGAACAAAGAGCATTAACACACTCAACACACACATTTACCATGGCCATATGGAAATGAACTGTACAGTATGTTTTGTGCATGTCTGTAAATAAAAAGCATCACTTAGAGCATGTCCCCTCTCCTGCTCTGAAAGTAAAGCAGCAGTTTTATGTCAAACAGCTTTGATGGAAAGGGTCTTTTATGTCCCTCATCCCCACCCATACTCACACTAAAGCACATGCATCCACACACATCAAACATACTTTTCTGGGTGCAGGATATAAAAGACCTTTTTGCCCTCTCATTATTTCATGCTTGTTTGGTCACAGACCCATTTCAGGATGAGAAAGAGACAAAGGAACGAAGACCCTTTTATCAGTTGGTACATTCAATTTCCTCAAAGAATGAATTATGAATCAAATCTGTTTTGGGATAACTACTGTAGTGTTGTACATTGGGAGCGTTTGAATAACATTTCTCAGTAATAAATCCTGGTGCCAGCTTTAAAATTATGTGATGTTTGGTGAATAAATCAAGCAGATACTGTCTCAGACTCATGATTTTCCAGTTCTTAGATTAGTGGGCATTTATAAGTCGGTGTGACAGCAGAAATAAAATAAAATGGCTGGAAGTGCTGCGTCAACTCGGAAGCACCTCAGTTCATCTGCCCCAACCGAATTTCAAACCTACTGTAGTTTTCCTCCATCAATATATTTGATCTGACACATTTTAACAGAAGAGCATAAAGTGGCAAACATGGATGGGAGTCAGCGTAATAACAATGCTGCCTGCAAAAATGAATGGTTTAATATCATGTCTCATCGGCCTATTTGTTCATTTGTAATTTCAAATGCAGAATATCATCCTTTAGCCTCAAATTTGAAAAACAAAGCCTCTCAACCTGAAAAAGAATTGCTAAATAGATGTTGTTCTAGATGGAGACTTGATGGTGTTTGGGTGTAAGGTGGTGGCTGGCTGCTGGCATCTGTTTCAGAAGCTGGAAGTACAGCAGTTGATTCAAAGAGGAGCTGATTGCTTGGCAGAGGAAATGGTGACAAATGACTGGTTCCTGTGTGAGATGAGTGGTACCTTGAGGCTTTAGAGAAGGTGACTGAGGAAGGAGTTGCCTAATTTATAACTGGCATGTTAATAAAGGGAGGCTGAGCTCTATACAGATTAGAACCTGTACGGCATAAGGGCTTCAAAAAAAGAATGAAAGAAGTAGTAGGGGAAAGTAAACTTTGGCTACAGTCCACAAATTCCTATTTTATTATGAATTACTCTTTTCCTAAAGGGATGCAAGACAAGACAAAAACTATGTTGATTACCCATGATGCTTTCCACTAACCACTTTGTTGCTTGTGCCATCTCTCTTCAAAAGTAGGAAAGAGAGCAATTCAATTCACTAAAAGTCACACTCAGAAGCAGAAATGCATGATAAATATGCAAGAAAAAGGAAAAAAATGGTTTATTAAACAAGTCTGCATTCTTAATTCCTGAGTGGGGTGTGTGAAAGACATGAAAGACCTCTTCTAAGCTTGTAATTTACTTCCGAACTTCACTGATTCCACCTCTACTTGCAAAGCCATTCAACTTTTTCAGAGCTGAAATTTAAAAGTAGTTTTCCATCCCTGAGGGACTAAAACCAGTGCAAACTCTGAAAACTATAACATAAAACACAAAAGCAAAAGAAAACACCAATACTTATTACAGTGAGGACAGACGGGGTCACCACTGGCATTCCACTGCTGGTCTGTGCCCCATAGAGATAACAACAAATAAGGCAGTCTGCCCACCTCTGTCCAATAATGAATAACAATAGAGCCCAAGGTCAACATTCAAATGTGCACGACTGTGAGTGTCTGTGTGAGAGAGACAAAGTGCTGCATTATTCTACACCACACTGGCATTCAACCCTCTTTCACCTCGTGTTAACACACATGTAGGATTAATCATTGACCTGTCTCTGTCTCTGTGTGTGTGTTTGTCTGTATCTAGACATCTGTCTAATTTAAAAGAACAGGGGGTAGCATGTCCAGCAGAATAACCACCTTAACAGAATCCTGTAATGAGATTTTCACTAGAAGCTGCTTCAAGAACAATAAAGCCACACTGTCACAGTGTTCTGCTGAAGCCTATCCATGATAGTAGAAAACCTCTGGCTGAGCAGCTGATAATAGATAATGAAATGATACAGCCTTGTTTCTTTGTTCAACCAGTAGAATTTGGACCTTGATGACTTCGATCTTCCCTAGACTCTCTGAGTGCTGGTGTTCATGCATAAATCACTGTCACCTTTGCAAAGCCTTTACATCTCTCTACCTGTCGCGCACTGTGCAGAGCACAGAGCTGACCTTATCTGCTGCAAAATATGGTTATTCAATACTTATTTGCTTTGCCAAATACATTTTGATGGAAATCTTATTGCTGCCTGGATACGTTCACTGGCAATGCTTTGTTTCAATTCATGAAGTGTGACATCTTTATACTGTCGCAGGGAGGAGGTCAGAGTGGAGTGAAGTTAGGCCTACATTGCACTACCTGCAGTAATTTTTACAGTGCCTTGCGAAAGTATTCGGCCCCCTTGAACTTTGCGACCTTTTGCCACATTTCAGGCTTCAAACATAAAGATATAAAACTGTAATTTTTTGTGAAGAATCAACAACAAGTGGGACACAATCATGAAGTGGAATGAAATTTATTGGATATTTCAAACTTTTTTAACAAATAAAAAACTGAATAATTGGGCGTGCAAAATTATTCAGCCCCTTTACTTTCAGTGCAGCAAACTCTCTCCAGAAGTTCAGTGAGGATCTCTGAATGATCCAATGTTGACCTAAATGACTAATGATGATAAATAGAATCCACCTGTGTGTAATCAAGTCTCCGTATAAATGCACCTGCACTGTGATAGTCTCAGAGGTCTGTTTAAAGCGCAGAGAGCATCATGAAGAACAAGGAACACACCAGGCAGGTCCGAGATACTGTTGTGGAGAAGTTTAAAGCCGGATTTGGATACAAAAAGATTTCCCAAGCTTTAAACATCCCAAGGAGCACTGTGCAAGCGATAATATTGAAATGGAAGGAGTATCAGACCACTGCAAATCTACCAAGACCTGGCCGTCCCTCTAAACTTTCAGCTCATACAAGGAGAAGACTGATCAGAGATGCAGCCAAGAGGCCCATGATCACTCTGGATGAACTGCAGAGATCTACAGCTGAGGTGGGAGACTCTGTCCATAGGACAACAATCAGTCGTATACTGCACAAATCTGGCCTTTATGGAAGAGTGGCAAGAAGAAAGCCATTTCTTAAAGATATCCATAAAAAGTGTCGTTTAAAGTTTGCCACAAGCCACCTGGGAGACACACCAAACATGTGGAAGAAGGTGCTCTGGTCAGATGAAACCAAAATCGAACTTTTTGGCAACAATGCAAAACGTTATGTTTGGCGTAAAAGCAACACAGCTCATCACCCTGAACACACCATCCCCACTGTCAACCATGGTGGTGGCAGCATCATGGTTTGGGCCTGCTTTTCTTTAGCAGGGACAGGGAAGATGGTTAAAATTGATGGGAAGATGGATGGAGCCAAATACAGGACCATTCTGGAAGGAAACCTGATGGAGTCTGCAAAAGACCTGAGACTGGGACGGAGATTTGTCTTCCAACAAGACAATGATCCAAAACATAAAGCAAAATCTACAATGGAATGGTTCACAAATACACATATCCAGGTGTTAGAATGGCCAAGTCAAAGTCCAGACCTGAATCCAATTGAGAATCTGTGGAAAGAACTGAAAACTGCTGTTCACAAACGCTCTCC